TTTTCAGGATTCCGCCGTGCAATTGTATAAGTAGCTCGATTTATGAACCTTGTCCGATTATTTTACCCGGTGTTGGTGGTGGAATTTTTATGTTTGCAAGTCCCGTAACAGGTTACTTTTATCGTGAAAGTTCCTGCAACCATTTCTAAATACTGTCAATAAAATTACCGTACCCGCAATACGTTACTTTAGCAGGGGATTACTGTTACCATAACAAATTACTTTTTAAGCAACGGATGATTATTACTGAATTTCTGTAATAATTAAACCTTAGCGTAACGGGTTACCGTTACCACAAACTGTTCTTTAACCGCAACTACCGTTACCTTTAACGGGGATTACTGTATACCTGATACAAGATACTGCTATTGCTTCCGTTACCGGAATAGATTACCGGTTATTTTTATTAATCGGATTAACTAACCGTATTCGTTCACTGGTTACTTTTTAGCATCGCCAGTTGTCCCAATGGGTTGCTGTTACTTTAATACTTGATTGTTTTGATAAGAAAGATGAGGGCGACGCCAGGCTGCACCGCGAACAACCAAATGATTATTGCTTCAAAAAAAGGATGTAAAAATCTTAAAAAAAGCTTACCTGAACTAGAATTAGATTTACTAACACCGGTTATCCTATTAATCAAGGATTAACTACGGAAATTCGCGATCACGAGGGTTGTGAGTTATAACTTTATTTGAAGGAGTACGCTTAAAAAGCGCACACTCAAGATTTTGTAAATTTTTAAACAAAATCCAAAGGATTTTGAGGCTTTTGTGCAGTTGTTGGAAATATGTTTTAAAACGTTGCCATAGCAAAACATTTCTTTAATAACGTCAGCATTAAGCAAGCGCAGTGCAGCATGCGAGCAGCGAACAAAACGAGTTGATTTCTATTGCAGTTTTGTTCTGTAAAAATTCTTACAGTTCCGCTTGAACTTTTCGTTACCGTGTTGATACGGCAGCGGAAACCGAAGGCGGAGCCAAAGGCGACGCCGAGCGGCGGCGCGAGCAAGCGCAGCGCAGCGAGCGGAGTAGCAAGTAAAACAAGAGGATTCTATTGCTCTTTTATTCTAAAGAAATTCTTACAGTTCCGTTTGAACTTTTCGTTACCGTGTTGATACGGTAGCGGAAACCGAAGGCGGAGCCAAAGGCGACGCCAAGCTGCGGAGCAAGCGAGCGCAGCGCAGCAAGTAAAACAAGGGTCTTCTATTGCTCTTTTATTCTAAAGAAATTCTTACAGTTCCGCTTAAACTTTTCGTTACCGTGTTGATACGGCAGCGGAAACCGAAGGCGGAGCCAAAGGCGACGCCGAGCTGCGGTGCGAGCAAGCGCAGCGCAGCGAGCGGAGTAGCAGGCAAAACGAGAGGATTCTATTGTCCTATAATTCTCAAAAGATTTTTCTTACAGTTCTGCTTGAACTTGATTTTGAAACGACTTTTAACAAAATTCTTAAATTTTTTTAAAATTCTAAAATTTTCTTCTTACAGATTCGCTTGAACTTTTCGTTATTGTGATGATACGGCAGCGTGCCATCAAGTAGAACGAAACATTTACTTTTTTCACTTCAAACCTTTTTCAATAAATATTACAAAATCTTAATAAATTCTGCACGAAATTTCAGATATCAGTTTTGCAAATGAAAAAGAAATTATTTGACTGCTGGAACAAAGTTTCTCGCCCTGGGCTGCAACTCCCTATTTCAAACTTAAAAACAGGCTCATTTCTGAAGGTTTATATAAATCTGAAAACAAAAGAACAAAAACAATGAACCTTAGCGTTTAACGTTCATGTTTTTTTGCGGAGAAAAAGAAAGGAGATCTACCTCAAAGGTCTTTACAGTTACATACACCACTGTTCACAGAAATTTAATCACGTGGCCTTGCCCTCACGAGCATTGCGTATATTGGACAAGGTTCAACGTAGTAAGTAAAATGGTGAACTTTCCTGATTCTGAAACAACTTTTAACAAAATTCTTAAATTTTTAAAGACTTTCGAGGAAAATGTTGTAGAAATTTGTTGAAGATAATCACGCGATCCATGAACTTTATTGTAAACCGAAGATTCTTAGTCAAATCAATACCTAAACACTAAAACTTTTTCGCGCCAGGTCAAGTTGAGTTAGTACGATGAGACCAAAAACGACCTTGGATTACCAGCCATAGTCATATGCGGGAAACGGGCACTTGGTGTTCAAAACCATGGTAAGTATGAGTTACTCGACTGCTGTTTTGCTTTAAAATAAATTCAACCGAATATTGCTAAAAACCATGGAAAAACATGGTATCCTTTACCCAAGAAAGTTATCCATTTAGTAATCGCTACTGCGTTATTATTACGTTGCCGCTGCCAACAGACATCGAATAAAGTGTTGAACCGATAAATCGTTTGCGCAATAAATTAAGCCAAACCACGTTTTGCGAAAACGTTGAACTCTTAAACAGAAATGTGTGCCAGCGCTTCTCGGATCCTGTGTGATTAAATCGGCATACGCGATTTGTATAAGTCAGTGTGTTAATTCATCTGCAGCAAAACAATCTTTCCGTGAATTTGAAAATACTAGGATTTAAATGGCTAAAATTTCTATGCTTCTAGCAACCAACTGAAAAAATTAAAACAAAGAGCTTTTTTGGGTTGTTGACTACCGGCGGAGAATCGTTAATTTAGTTCAATAGAAGGCGAGAAGTTGCGGAATAGTGACTTCATAGTCAGATATTTGCGCTAAAACGGGCTTTTCTGCCAATAAACAAAACGATGCGGCAGCTTTCCAGGTAAGCAATGCAATCGAGTTCTGGCCAACTGCCAATCTAACGAAAATTTAAAAATCTGAAGCGGAACATATTTTCTGCTTTTCCATGGACCACCAGCACGAAAAGTAATATTTCTAAGTTTACCACCAAAATTCATTACCAAAAATTGGTTTGATAGACCGTCACGAACTGTCAAAGTATTTTGCAGAGAATCACTGATTTACGGTTAGTCATCGACTGCGGTGCAGCGTGAATGGCGAATCAAGGCCGCCAGAAGTGTAGTGAACGTGGACCATGTTTAGTACAGCCGTCTGTTTAGTGAATTTTGCTGCCAAACCATTTTGCATAGTTCGCTCTTAATTGCGGTTGCGTTGAAAAATCTCTTCAATTAGCAGGTTATGTTTTGTTTTTTTCTCTGCAAGCGGTAGTTTTGGAAATTCAGCCTGTGCAAACGATTGTACTTGATGGGTAACGGCCTGGGTTGCGCTTGTTGAACAGGCTCTAAGTCCTTCGGTCCAATATAAGCGTAAAAGTTGAACGTACCCATTAAATTGGCTCTGTTGGCGATTTGCATAAAGGTTTTACAAATTTAAAACAACGACCAGTATCCTAAAATAAAGAATCTGGTGCGAAATGGACGGCTATGGGCGATAGGGTATTTATATTAGTAGTGCCCGCGTCGCGTTGGCTTGCGTGGGCACATCTGATCGTGTTGCAGTGCTTCTGTGTGACCCGCTGGGTCGTTATTATCATTTAGATCAGCATTGTCATTCATATTACGGAATAAGATGTCGCGTGCGGGAGCACGGAGAAACCTAGACAGACTGGTGGATAGCGGTAAACTCATACCAGTCGATCACGCCGACTGTCGACTCACAATCGGCTCTACAATGGCGAGCGTAACCGCAAAAAATATTTCGGCCAACAAACAAATCTGAAATGCCTTTGGCTTGGTTAGCTCAAGCGTCTCAACCTCCCCCCCCCCTCCTGCGTAGTGCCCAAAAAATTTTAATTTTTAATTTTTAGAATTAAGTTTTACGTGAAAAGTTAATTAGAAGAAATTTACGCGTTATAAAAATACATCTTTTATCTTTTTACACGCAATTTTCAGCCAACCAGAAACCATTTCATCTTACGAAATTCGGAATTTAGTTTCTTGGAACGCATGCATCCGTACGAAGCTCAAAGAATATTATACTTTTTTTAACGGAATCAAAAATGAAAAACATTCAAAAATAACATATTGTATTGGCATAATTCCGCAAACGGCATAAAAATAATGATATCATATCGGCATCGTAGCGGTGGCAAAAACTGATATCTGAGCAGCTCTGGTGATAAGCCTTCCACAGCAATAGCAACAGCTACAAAAAACGAGTAAACTCAACTACTCCTGTTCCAGAGACGCAGTCTTACCCAACCGAGTTTTTTACAACAAGAAAAATTTACACGCTTGCTCGCTTGCACTAAGGGCGGTTACGACGTTTATACTAGTGATAAATCACTGCGCTATGGATTCTCTCCAATGATGGGCTCCTCTCGAGGTCCATTGGTCACCTCGAACACCTGGTCTCTCGTGGTGAAGGGTTTACTGGAACCGGATTCGGGCACGCTGATGCCCACCTGACAATCACAGAAGCTCATTATTCTTTAGTGGAATATAAATATAACAAAAAACCGTATTTGCACTTTAATATATGTACAGAGTAAGTGTATAAAATTTTCTGCTGCCCGTAAGCGTGCACTTCACACTATACTTCGAGTACTCGTGCACGCTTCACGCTCGTAGAAATAAATTATGTACTGCGTACGTACATAAAAGGGTATACGAAATTGAAAAAGCGTCTGAATACGCGGCGAATGCATGCAGGCGCTAAAACTGACCAGTCAAGACGTGGCCGATATATGCTGGCCACTGCAGAAGGAAGCGAGCGACTTCCCGTCACGATATCGTTGCCCTAATTGCGTGCGTCCTTCAAAAAACATTGAAAGGTCAATCATGCGATGGTCCTTAGGTAGATTTTTGCGAGTTATCGCGTCAATAACGGCCAGCCTAGCACCTTCAACATGTTTAGCTTGGTGTTGTAGTAGACGAATGTGGAAAAAAAATGAAAGTGGTGGATATAAATGTTTTTGTTGACTCCACCCGGTTATAAATAGAAATATGTGCGTAATGAACAAATTGATTATCATCAGAAAAACACAGTACTCGCACACAAGGATTAGGACTTGCCATTATGCAACGTTTCTCTTGCGGCCCTGCTGGAGGTGTTTCAAGGAGACAGGATCAATCAGCGCAGCTTGCTTGCTTGCTTGCTCCGTCTAGGCCAGAAGCCCACATCTGGTTGAATGCCCTGCCGTGCACTCACATCGGTAAGCTGCTGAGCGAGGACGAACTGAAGACCAGCATCGGTCTCCGCCTCGGCGCCACGATCTGTGAACCTCCTGACTGCGTCAGATAATTCAAACCCGTGTGTGGTTACGGGCACCACGGGCTATCATGTGCCTTTTCCGCCGGACGGCATCCGAGTTACCGAGGGTTAAACAGGATCTTTTGCAGGGGATTTGTATCCGGTGGTGCGCCTGTGAAACTGGAGCCGCGCGGCTGTAGCCGGCAGGAAGGTTGACGGGTTGATGGTTGACCTTCAATGAAGGTCATCAACCTTTCTGCCAGAGCGCATCAACCTTTCTCTAAAGGTCATCAACCTTTCTGCCAGAGTGCATCAACCTTTCTCTTTAGGTTGTCAACCTTTCTGCCGAAGTGATCCACCTTTCCACCAGTGGTGATCCACATTTCTGCCGAGGATTATTCACATTTTTGGAAAGGCTATTTACTTTCCGCCAGAGGCCATCTAGCTTACCAGAGAGCACATCCAGTTTCGGCCCAAGGGCATCCATCTTACTGGAAGGGACATCCATCTTTCTACCAGAGGTTATCCATGAATCTCCCGACGGTATCCATTACTCCTAACAACGACGCCGATGCACCCATTGTAGCTCCTTTTGCTTATCGTTCCTCTAGCTCGTTGAAAAGCAATTTAATTAATGGTTTTTTTAAACACTTGGCTTGGATGTTAAATAGCAAGCGAAGCGATTCACTGAAGCCGCCTTGAACTGACGACAACAGTGACTTACAATGAGCACAAGTGGCACGAAAAAAATAATGTGACAAGTGCATAATCATTGACGCATCCACCTTTCTGCCGAACCGGTGTCGGCGCCCATTCATCACATCTGGCTTTTGCGCAACTACAAACTGCTGCAACTGCAGCTGCTCCAACTGTTGTCTGTCACAGTTTTCACCATCGTTATTGCCTCATCAGTTAAACCGCTTATCTACGATCAAACATGCAGACGCAACGTACGAACTACGAACAGAGTCGACATAATAGTGGGTTTGCGGTGACAAACTGCATCTATACACGAAATCGATACATACAAACAAGTGACGACACGGTGACGTTGTGAACCGTATATGCAAAACCCATTTCTATGCGGTCTCTACGTCACTTGTTTGTATGTATAGATTCCGTGTCACCGCAAGTTGTCACCGCAAATCCACTAATATATGAGCTCTGGCAGAAAGGTTGATGACCTTCATTGAGCGTCAACCATCAACCCGTCAACCTTCCTGCCGGCTACACGCGGCACCTCTTACACATCTGAACGTCGCCCGGACGGCTGCACGACATTGGTCTGGAAAGGCGGAGTGTGCCTCGCATGGGACGATGGAATGCAGCGTCAGTGCTGGGCACGATAGAAGGTCGACGGCGGGATAAGCTGAACGAAATTGTTCTGTTAGTTTAGCGTATTTTCCTGGCATTTTGTGTAATGCGAGGAAAAACCTCATGCTATACACTCTGTACTTACCACGTCACGACACCATTATATTAGCTTTATGTAATCACCTTCGTTCATAAAAATCTGCTTCAGCTTGCCGGAAAATAGATCACTTGGCTCATCTTGCATTGCGCCAAATTATAGGAGAAGCAGCTGAATTCTTAACCGGGAAGAGCATGCAAGGGCAATAGCGGTTGTACGTTGAATCAGTATTACGATGAGCTTTGGCTAAACATAAAATCACGTATTACATAATTTCGGCACAAAATACCTGTGATTGAGCAGTTTTTAATTTGGGATTTTTTAACCATAACTCGACATTTGGACATTCTCAATTCTACATACATACAAGTGATACAACGATACAAAGTATCTGCAAATCACAGCGTTGAGCGGGGCAGATTCAGATACAGTATTCCGTTTGCTTAATTGCAGAGAACTTACTCGCTACCATGCTTGTTAGTGGCAATTGGTAAATGGTGGTCGATAGATTATTCCTTGTTTTCTTTTAATAACTTTGGGTGTGATGTTTAAACGCTGACTTACAACTAACTAAATCTGGTTTTACACTAACGAATGGCAATAATATTATGGAGTTGAGTACCCATACATGTACCGGCTATAAAAGGAACAATCATGTACAGCAAAAACAGCGCTTCAGTCAGTTCTTTTGGTCACGATTTGCATGTTGCCAGAGGAGTGCCTCCATGCAGCAAGGCACGCGAAACAACTCCCCACAATGATGCAGTAGTATAATTTCGACGGGTAAACACTCAAGTGGCCGGCCGCCAACAAAAACCGCTGACACAACCAACCGTCAGCGGGACCGCGGCACTTGTCAGTCGGCCATATAAGACCACGACGGGACACCCGTCCAAATTGTCATTCGGGTTGTTCTCTCAGTGACAGTTTCCTGAAACCTGCTCTAGCTCCTTCCACAATGATCCGCGCCATCATTCTCATCAGCTGCTGCGTTGCAGCGTTTGCTCGTAAGTTTGCTCGTAACTGGCGCCTTTTTTCTATATTTTCTCATATAACTGTAGTATACAGCCGCAATCAAAGTTTTCTTATTTTTTGAGCTCAGTAACAACAATAATTTATATTGGTGATATAACCATATCTTTGACGGAAGTCTGCTACGTTTATTTCCAAGGTTAACGTTAATCAACTGCACAGTTCAACTTGCTCATTGCACATGTGAGCGATCTTTATGTATCGATTTATGTGAGTGTCACGTATTGCCAAATACGCTGTTGTTTATTGCTGCTCGTACACAACTCGACTGACCATCTGCAGCTGGTATTCGCAGATACCGTTGCCGTTGCTAAGACATAGTATGACTCCATTACAGTGAGCGATACATAAAGCAAAGCGAAAAGACTGCATTCGTATTTAAGTTTTAATAAAAAAACATTTGATTGGAATTTTTGCTAAAATGCATTCGCCATTTATGTATAAAATTTTCGTCCATGCAATATAACATCATATACTCTGTATATCCTAAATTTAACTAAACTACTCGTACACACTGAACCCAACATTAAATTGTTTGTACTACTTAGCCTTTCTTGCGAATTATTTTGGAAACATGGCGTGAAATAATGCTGACGAAATTATTGGTGTTGTCAGAAACCGCGAGCAAATCCAGCTCCGCAAGCGTCAAAGGTGTCAGCGTATGCGGTCGTCCACCACGGCCCGCCGACCGCAACTGGTCCGGCGGATCCCGCATTGTTGGCGGTCAGCCGGCCGAACCTGGCTCGCATCCCTGGATTGTTGGCTTGGTCCAAGATTACGGACTGGGTTATGAAGTCGCTCAATTCTGCGGCGGCAGTATCGTAAGACATCCTTCGTGATCAGTTATAGATAATGAATTACACAACATTTTATAAATCTGCTACCTAATTTTATTCAGATCTTCTTATACATAATGATCGTAATTTTAATTTCTCACACAGCAATAATTTAATCAGAACTTACTTACTGTAAAAGTGTGCGAATGACACTTATTCTTACAATACAGAATGCATGACAAAGTTATACGAAATCTTGCTTAAGGTGAATTTCTACTCACATTACGCCATTTTAAATTATACAGGAATCGCTAGAGAATTCATTTCTGTATCTACATAGATCTACTTATGTGAATCAAGCTTTTATGAAAAAATTGTACACCGTTACCTATTTTAAAAACTGTGATCGAGCAGAAACCTTTCACAATGTTTTCACAAGGTTTTTTTTTATGTTGGCTCACAACAGATCGCTCCCACTGTCATCCTCACCGCCGGCCATTGCGTGCATGACTTCACCGATGATGACATGATCGATCGTGTCCGAGTCGTCCCCGGTGGTGGCGGAAACCTGGCGGCGGCCACGGAAGACCGCGACAGAATGCTGTTCCGCATCCGCGCTGTGCGTCGTCATTCGCAATACGACAACCCACCCGGCACCACCAACAACGACGTCGCCCTGCTGATCCTGGAACAACCTATCCCCTTCGGTGGTAACATCCAGCCCATCTGCTTGCCCGGCTTCGACCCCCAAGAGAGAGGCCGTGCCGCCAACATTGATTCGCAAACCGGCAAGCCCGCGGTCGTCGTGGCTGGTTTCGGACATCTGGTCGAAGGCGGTGGCGGTAAGTGACGGTTTAGCATTAAACATTCCCGTTTACAAAATTCGATCGCAGCCGGAAAGAGCAACAAAAAATCGGTGACCTTTGTGCATTTGTGCGTAAAGCGGCAGCAGTAGCGCTGAATTATCGTTTTAGTTTGAAGTATATTTATTACTCTACTTTTCCATCATAAAAAAATCACTTTACTTTTTGTATCAGCTCAAAGCGAGTACGAACTTCACCAACCAAGTGCGATGACAGGTAGATTTTAATAAATATGCGTGCGTTAATTTTACAGGTTTAAACGGTCGCGTTGGCTCTGGCTCTGACCAACTGATGCAAGTCTTCCTCGACTTCCAGACCCCCGTCGAATGCAAGGCTGGTCTGAGCCGCAACGGCATGTACTTCGATCCCAAGACGATGGTAAATGATTCACTCCAAATACGAAATTTATTACGAGTAGATTTTGGGAAGAAAGCAGTTTCGCCGGTATGTGTAGATCTGCGCTGGATTCCCGGAGGGCGGTAAGGACTCGTGCCAAGGTGACAGCGGTGGCCCCCTGGTCATGAAGACCAAGGATCAACAATGGAGCTTGATCGGTGTGGTGTCTTTCGGTGCCGGATGTGCGCAGGGCGGCGGTGCCTACGGAGTGTACGCCAATGTCCGCAACTTCATCCCTTGGATCCAGCAGAACATGTACTAAACAACTCGCAGTTCATGGGAGATTCCTCAATAACTTTCACCATCTGTTTGCTAGTTTCGCGCTCGAAAACATTAGTGCAATAGCTAAACAATTCACAACATGGTTTTTTCAAGTACCGCATTTCTTCTGATGCTTTGAGGGCTTTCGTAATTGACGTTTTCAGCAACGCAATTGCCGGTGATAATTAAAGTGCAATAATTAAAGTGCAGATGCAGAAGCATACAGCACTGGTATCCGTTCTGTAACTTCTGCTGCACTGTGCCCCTCGTTGAACCGGTAAGAAACGAATTTAATTCGTTGTCTCATGATCATGCATTACCTTCAACAGGCATAAAGTTACAGCAGTTTTTGACTTTTTAAGTCCTGGTAGAGTTTGTATTAGAAACGGTAACTAGCAAATCGTCAACCCCATTCATACAATAGGAGTAAATATGCAGCGGTCCGAGTCAATTTAATTGTATTCCTCATTGTGTGTATATTCCCTTACTGTTAATTTCCTGAAAATTTCCTCGATAATCATAGTTGCGAATTATTAAACGTATTCCGCTCTGATCCATGAAACAAGAAACTAGTAATTTGGAAAGATCGAACAAGATTTGAACTGCGTAACGTCTGCGAATAGGATTGTATAGCTCTAAAATGGTAACACCCTATTTCACTTTGTACATTAAATTTTACAAAACACAGATACACGAGGTACGGGTACATGAATGCAGGAACAGGATCGAATCAAAATGCGCTGAATTTTCCGTTATAGAAAAAGATGGCTACTTCAACTTGAGCAGATCTAGTGGAGGCCTTTCACATGTTAGATAATCATTAAATTATCTTCTTTTGCTTTTGGATCTCGGTGGACTGTGGATACAGTATTTGTTGACTGATAGATTGGGTTATTTTTATACGATATCTGAAGTTTTGCGTTTGTGTACGTACGGAGAGGAGCAGCAACAATCTTTAAATGTGTGTTACAAACGTAAGGAGATCGACGTACATTAATTTTTGGTTTTAATATGACCTGTGCGGACAATCACTGACGTGTACCGGTGGGATAGTACGTAGCACGTCCTGCACACATCTAATAGCGAACATTTACAGCTAACTAAGCTGGTCTTATTTAAGTTGACTTTCGGTTGATGCCTTGATAATACGATCACAATTTACGTTTGAATGCTGTCATTTCTCGGCTGTTGTTGCCTATCTCCAGCTCGTACTTCGTGCGATTGGTTTCATGGATCAGAGCGGGACGTATGATTGATGCCTACACCCTGTCGTGGTGAAAGACTAGTACAACCATCCGGTAGCGTTATTTCGTATTAACAAGGACGCACGGGATTTGGCTGTGGTCTTCTCCCTGCCTATCTCTCAGTCGGTAGAGCACTCTTAAATCCCAAACTGGTACTGCGAAATAACTTGGAGGATCGATGGAGGTATGCGTACGAACTCAGGAACCAGGAATCCTTATCAGGAGCCCTGCGAAACACGAATGAATGCCTTACTTCTCACTTCCGGTCTCGGTTCTTACGTGGATTAGATAAAGGCGATGGCCTGTGCGGCGCGAGTATACTGCGGTAACCCAAAGCTAAGATTAGACTCGAATCCCGAACTTCTAGGTAACCTTTAGAAAATACTGCCCTTTAATCCAATGCATATCGTAATCCTCGACACATGAAAGTCGGCCAAGGTCAAAAAGAGGAAGGAATAATTAAAGGAAGGAATATTTTTTTGACCAAAAAGGAAGAAAATTTCGATGGTAAAAAAAATGAAGGAAATTTTCGTGGTCAAAAAAGGAAAGAAGTTTCGATGGCCAAAAACAAGGAAAATTTTTTTGCAGTTAATGCGCAAAAAAAAATTTTTAAAAGGTTTGGGGAATTACTAAGTACTTACGCGTTACTGTCCTTTTGATCAAGTAATGCAGATTAAGCGTTACAGCAAAACATATTAATTTTACGATGACAAGTAACTAAACGTGCTCTTAGTGTGCTTTGGTGCTAGGAATATTTTGTTGAAAAAAAATAACAGGAAAACGAATACTCCACAACGTTATTCGCTTTGATGTGCTGAATCGTTGAGGCCTGAATAAGCCTCTTAATGAAAAGTAACAGCAGTGGCGGTCGCCTTTGATGCCCGATCAGGCAGCCCCCATTTAGAAATCATATCCTACTTAATACATCCTGCTATTAATATTCCTTATTTATAATGTACATACGCCGGCTGGACGTTTCGGCACCCTATCATTTCGGAAACCATAAAAAAACAAAAGAAAGATAAGATCACATAGGATCACATAAAAAAAAATAACGCAAGAAAACATAACAAAATTTTAAGACACAAATAACAAAAATAAGAAAACCTAAGAAACCCAGAAAAACTAGAATAACATAAGGAAACCTAAGAAAACCATTTAATAACGAAACGTAATTAAGAACATAAGAAATCCTAAGAAACCTAAGAAAACATTTGAATAATACCACCTCATTAAGAAAACCACCTAATTACGAGCCCTAATTAAGAAACCTAATTAAGAACTTAAGGAAACCTCAGAACTTTAAGAACTTAAAAAACCTAAGAAAACATTTGAATAATACCAAGAAAACCATCTAATTAAAACCCTAATTAAGAAACCTAATTATGAACTTAAGAAAATCAAGAAACCTTAGAGTCATTTGAACAGTAACATAAGAAGCATAAGAAAACCGAAGGAAATATTTCGAAATGTACGGTTTCCGAAATGAATGGTTTCTGAAATAACGGACACTGCAGCACGTTAACACACAAGAGACAAAAGTTTTGCGCCGTTTTTGCGGGGGTTATAACTTTTTAGTATGCGACTCTGCGTTCATGCTATGATACGAGACTTATCAGTAGGAGTAAGGCGCCTGCCTTTTTTTGCAGAATGCAGTGAAATCAGAAGCAGTGGCAGAATGGTTAAGAAGGCTGGCATAATTTAGTTGGCATGCGTTATTCCTCATTCACTCATTTCAGCAAAACACCATGGGCATGGTGTAAAACCCGATATTAACGCCCCCCCGAAATTAACGCCCCGTGCGGTTTTAAACGCCCCCTCCCGTAGGTCACGAAATAATAAAGGCCCAGGGCGTTAATATCGGGTTTTACGGTATTTAAACGTCAGACCTCTAAAACATTCTGTAAGAACAGTTTGCGCCGTTCGAACTCTTATCGCAAACTTAATAGGTTTGGCTGTAACGCTTATTCTGCATTACTTTATCAAACGGAAAGCAGCGCGTATTTGCTTAATTCCCCAAACTTTTAAAAATTTTCTTAGCGCATTAAAGGCAAAAAAAATGTTTTTTGTTTTTGACCATCGAAATTTCTTTCCTTTTTGGTCAAAAAAACATTTCTTCATTTAAATATTCCTTCCTCTTTTGACCATGAAATTTCCTTCCTTTATTCATTCCTTCCTCTTTTTGACCAAAAAAATTTCCTTCCTTTAATTATTCCATCCTCTTTTTGACCTTGGCCTGAAAGTGAGAAAAGTAAGAATATCAGAAATCAGAAGACTAATTCCTGACCACTGCCGATATTAGGCATCACTCAAGCTTATATAGACTACCCGTAGCAGTTCTGACATCATATACATCGCTAGGAATTTAGGTACAGCCAATCACAGGTAACAAGATGACTAGATAATAACATGGAGGTAGGTTTATTCACTGATAAAGGCGGACATCATTAGGGAATTGTACGTACGATGTGGGTGTATCCTCCTCCCCACGTCAACCCCAAAATCTTTACACAAAGGCCAGCGGAAGGAGTTAGTGAAATGAACGTTGAGATTTCCCAAATTCGTCGTGTACTCTGTATCTCATAGGTTTTCCTATACATCGCTGTTATTTGTACTTCTATCTATAGTTGTTCTCGGACTACAGAAAGGTGATACACGAATATCGGCGGTTCACACCCATTCTCGTTATCAAGGATCTCATCATCTGGAGCAGTGCTCACGTTAAACCTTGCTCGATGGTCTCTGCTTCCTTCTGGAGACACGCCATATGGGACTTCTGATTCTTCTCTTTACGACGATCGGATTTACCACTGGATTCTTTAGGGTTCCAGACAGGGATTCCAGAGCTTGCAGGCTATATCTCCCACTCGAGTTTCACTGTAACAGTTAGTTTGGGATGCAGAGTCGCCCTGTTGATGCTGTCGTAACGGTACAACGAACAAGCTAAGGTCACACAATGCTACAGTTCGGGCTACAGTATATACTGTACCTCGCCATACACTTCCATACCTTCAGCTGGATAAAATTACTGTTTCTATAATTTTCTGTGGTGTTGCCGCCAATAAGCAACAGTTGCGAACGCTTCTAAATGGGTTGCATATGTATGTGCATTTACTCTACAGTCTACATGTTATACTGTGCTTACTACTTGTAGTATTTGTATGTCTAGTGTCTACTAAGTTACTATGTAACAGCGTAATTGCAAAGGCAGTGGATCTTATTTATAGGTATATAACTATATATATATACAGCAATACGAAAATTAAACCTTACGCTTGCTCATATAATGCAATTATTGAGATATCGGGAAGTTAGTCTTACCTGGTTAGTACCGCCATGCGATCTACCGAAAACAATTACAAAACTGTCACTAACGTTTTTTCCCTATTAGTCGGTGTGGAAAAGCATTACCTGAAATAGCTATAGGCTTTTACCTATAGCTATTTCAGCCTGTGTTTGCTATTAACTGTTCGCACCACCATATATATTTGTATCATTACGCATCATTTTTTGCTATACTTAAATATTTTTTAGCCAGCTTATTCGTCATTAATTTTGCGAGCGTTATTCACTCTAAATAAACCGGTTCGTGCGGCAAGAAACTGCCAGACGAAGCGTGAAAGGTTTAGCTTAATTATTGTACAAGCGAATCGTTATCCAAAGTATTGTCTGCTCAAGCTACGCCGGCAAAACTGTTATTGAGGTAAATCATCACGGCATGGATTCTCTCCAATGGTGAGTTCCCCTCCGGGTCCTTTGGTCACCACAAAGACTTGGTTTTCCATGGTGAAAGCCTCGATGGAACCGAATTTGGGCACGCTGATGTCCACCTGGCAATCAAAGAAGACCGTTATTGATTGCTGCAATACAGATGTTATAAAAACCCCATTTATTGTACACTCGAATACGTACTCCGTATATATAAGTTTTTTCTATCCGTACGCATGGATTTTTGCACTACGTACCTGTGATTGTACAAGTACTGCAAGTGATCGATAGGTAGACGAAACAGCACTG